CATGGGTAATGGAGGGAGAGCATTAGCGAATTCTCGGCTGGACAGCTCAGGAGTGAATGACGTGATCCCCTGTTGACCTGGTAATGGAGGGAAAAGCATTAGCAGCTTTCAAGCTGATCAACTTAAAAAGTAAACTTTGAAAAGTGAACGTCTAATGCAGTCTCTAAGCAAAGACGGTGCATGATCTCATATGTCCTAATGAGAGGAATGATTGGTTGAGGCGTATAGTGAGACATTTGAACCTCCTCGGGGGAGGGGGAAAAAGGGTCCATAAAAGCCCCATGATCAGACCAAACAGGGCTCAAGCAAGCCGTAGGAAGAGAAGAGCAGAAAGGACTTCAGCACACAGCTCGGAGGGCGGGGGCACCCGAAGGAGATGGAACACGCCGGTCTAAGACGAGTCTTGGATTTATCTTTGGTCTCTCTGAGACGAGATTGGACCCAACTCTTCACTTGTTAAGACGAGACCAGGATTATTCCATCCTCCTATCTGCTTGGCCCGGGTATGTCCAAAGCCCCCAATCCTTTCAATTTGGGATAGCTGCTCTGCGTAGGGAAGGCCTGTATCCCCCTCCTGGGGAGCAGGAGATTTGCCTTTTACCTGTGCGGAAAATTCTATAAGGATTATCCTAAAAATCAGGGTAAGAGGACTTCCCGGTCCGATTGCTCCAAACTAATTAATCTGTCAGATCAGGGCAAGTACTTAGGAAAAATCAGAGAGAACCAAACTGGGTTTAGTGGGTCAATGCTCAGAGGTGCATCCAAGCGTTGAGGCATTTTGAGGAAAAAAACATCTGTCAGCTTGAGTTGTGAACTAAGGTGATTTATACAAGTCTCCAAGGGCTCTTGGAGACACATTGATTTATTGTCCGCCTAGTTATGAAGTATTTTTCTCTGTTATCATGTATAAGTGCCTGTATTGAAATTATGCTTGTCGCTATATTCCCTTGCAAAATTATTAATTAAAGCAAAGCAAAACGTATAAATCTTGACTATTATTTCATTCTTATTAAGCAGAATGCAGGTGAGGCTTGGTTCCACTTTAACATCTAGCATTAGGAGGTTTTTAACGGTTTCCTGGCAAGAAAGTGTAAGACAACACCCCTGAGTCCTGTCCCTGGACTCTAAAGATGACCAGAACGGATAACAATTGTAACGCTAAATTAAGAGGTGGACGACCGTGAACGCGTGTTTCTCCGTGCCAGCCGGCCCGACCCTGCTGCTTGGATGGGACGAGGAACGGAGTGAGATTTGGGTGTGACTCGTAGAAGAAGGTCGTTAATATTCTGGATGAGTCACCTCGTCACAGCCTTCATGAGACTGTCTTAGGGAGCTGCAGGTAATACCACGGCGCTAAGGTTAGTCTCTAGACCCCTTGGAGGAAAGGCTGCGAGCGAGGATCTGTCACTTCGCCAGTGGCTACCTCGCTACGGGAAAGCGATACACAGGATGCAGAAGCCAGGACGTAAAATAATAATCACTTTAATAATCAAAAATAAATAGCTGACGAGGCAGCAAAACTCACAGACAGGATCAGGTCAGAGCTATACATGGAACACAGGAGACAAACTAGGGCTGTACCACACGATGCACCGAAAAAGGACTGAGACACAGACCAGAGCTTATATACACACAGACTGGATGAGACAAATTACAAACACCTGGAGGACAAGTGGGTGGAGCTGATCAGGGTAATTACTGAGAAACACTAGGGAGTACAGACACAGCGAGACTGACAGAGGGATACCATCCTTACAGTACCCACCCCCCAAGGACGCCCCCTGGCGTCCCCAGAAAGCCCCCCCCAAACACTGGGGTGGGCAGAGGGAGGAACTGCAAGGATGGAGGGCACAAGGAAACACTTGAGTGGGGCCAGGACAAAAAACACACACAGGGAACAAACAAAAAAGGTCCAAGTGGTCAACAGATTGTTCCAAGGCAGACCTAGTCCAAAAACCCTGGGGCAGGTCAGGCGAGGAATCGGGACAAGGCGAGGAGCCTGGACAAGGCGAGAGACGAAGGCGAGATGAGGGACCAAGGCGAGGCGTGGGGCCAAGGAGAGGAGTGGTGCCAAGGCGAGGCGTGAGACCGAGGCAAGGAGTGAGGCTGAGGCGAGGCGTGAGGCCGAGGCGTGGGGCCGAGGCGAGGCGTGGACCCGAGGCGTGGACCCGAGGTGAGGACCCGAGGCGAGGGACCTGGACGAGGCAAGGAGACATGAGGGCTCGGATCTTCTGCGGCAGGATCTTTGAAGACTGATTCTTCTGCTGTAGGGTCAGGAGTTGTCGTGGGACACGAGACTGTAGAGCTGGGTTCTTCAGCAGCAGGACCAGAAGCTGTTGTGGAGCTGGGTTCCTCTGTGGCAGGGTCAGGAGCTGTCGAACACAGACCTTCTGACAGCGTAGGACCCTCTGGAGGCGCAGATGGCGCGGGACTCTCTGGAGGCGTGAGACCCTTGATTGACGTAGCGACGTCGGCAAACCTGGGACCCTTCGTGGATGTAGCGACGTCGGCGGACCTGGGGCCCTCGGTAGACGTAGCGACGTCGGCGGACCTGGGACCCTCGGTGGACGTAGCAACGTCGGCAGACCTGGGACCCTCGGTGGACGTAGCGACGTCGGCAGACCTGGGACCCTCGGTGGACGTAGCAACGTCGGTTGACCTGGGACCCTCAGTGGATGTTGATACCTCTGTAGAGACCTCTGAAGTGGCGGCTGAGACTTGGGCGGCTGAGACTTTGGAGGTAGTGAAGTCTTCGATGGCTGAGTCTTTGGCGGCTGAGTCTTCGGCGGCTGAGTCTTCGGCGGCTGAGTCTTCGGCGGCTGAGTCTTTGGCGGCTGAGTCTTCGGCGGCTGAGTCGTCAGAAGGAGTGAAGACCTCTGCGGCAGCGAAGACCTCAGCGAAGACATCAGCGGGCGGAGCAGGATCGAAGACCTCAGCGGGCAGAGCAGGAGCGAGGACCTCAGCGGGCGGAGCAGGAGAGAGGACCTCAGCGGGCGGAGCAGGAGAGAGGACCTCAGCAGATGGGTCAACCACGGGGGCTGCGTGCAGCGTGGGATCCACCTCGGGGGCTGCGTGTAGCGTGGGATCCACCTCGGGGGATGCGTGTAGCGTGGGATCCCACTCGGGGACTGTGTGTAGCGTGGGATTTACTTCGGGGACTGCGTGCAACGTGGGATCCACCTCGGGGGCTGCTTGCAGCGTGGGATCCACCTCGGGGACTGCGTGCAGCGTGGGATCCACCTCGGGGACTGCGTGCAGTGTGGACGGTGGGTCTACAGAGGCAGGGTCTTCTGGTGCTGAGTCAGGTGCTGGAGCAGGGACTGAGTCCCTTGAACCTCTTTGCTGTTGACCCTTGCCGTGGTGGCGACGATGTGGACCAGGATTGGGCCGGATCTCCTCCTTGGATTCAGTGCCTCCCTTGGATATTGACTCTGCAACCAGGGAGCCAGGGACTTGTTCTGCAGCTGGGGTGTCTGGCTTTTGGGCAGAGCCAGCGACAGGAGGTTCCGGATCTGAACCTGGAAACGGAACTGGTACTGAGGCAGAGTCATGCTGTATTTTCAAAGTTCTGAGTCCAGTAAGAAGCTGCTGATATTCAGCATGCTGGATTAAACCGGGTTGGGGTAATAGAAACTTTTCGGCAAGGGTGAGCACAGTATCTAGACAGTCCGGGTTATTTTTAGCAGAACAAAGGAGGCTTTGCAGAGCGTGGTTTATTTAAGATAATTCATGGGGTTGGAGCTGAGAAGTCTTGGGGCTAGTTTTGTGTGGAGCTCTATTCAAGGGCGAGGGGTCAAGACCCGCCCTCACCGGAAACCTGGGAGGTGAGGCAATAGGACCCGCCCTCGCAGAGGCATCGGGACTGGTTTCCGTTAGCTCAGTCTCGCTGGACCGAGCAGGAGCGGCCCGGAGCGACGGAGAAGTGTCGGACTCGGCCCTCACCGGAACCGTGGGAGGTGAGACAACAGAATCCGTCTCCACTGCAGCACCAGGAATGTCTTAATGTGGAAGGTGCCAGAACAAGCACCATGGACCGCTTCCGGGTTCGGTTTCTGCCGCTCCGGCAGCGGTGAGAAGGCTGAGGGGCAAGAATGGAGCAGAGCTCGTCCTCCGGCTCTGCGTCTTCTTCCTACGTCCATCCCGAATAGCCGAACGGAGCTGAGGATGAGGAGGAACTGTAATTGTGGGTCACGCCGTCTCCCCGTAGCCAGGACCTTCTCTTTAATTCGAGGACCAGGAGGGGAGAAGGGAGGATTTCTACCTCCTGGCAGTAACTTCTTTGTGCCGGCACGGGTTGGATCTGGAAACCGCCACACCGGAACACAATCTCCTCCATCTGCGTGGGCTCAAGAGAACAGGTAAGCGAGGTCGAGGAATTCTGTCTGCTGGGTTCTGATTTTGGTCAGTGCATACTGTCAGGATTTTCAGGCTGAGCTGAACAAGAACAAACCCATGTGCAGAAAGGATGCAGAGGCCAGGACGTGAAATAATAATCACTTTAATAATCAAAAATAAATAGCTGACGAGGCAGCAAAACTCACAGACAGGATCAGGTCAGAGCTATACATAACCAGGGGCTGTACCAGACAATGCACCGACAAGGACTGAGACACAGACCAGAGCTTATATACACACAGACTGGATGAGACAAATTACAAACACCTGGAGGACATGTGGGTGGAGCTGATCGGGGTAATTATTGAGAAACACTAGGGAGTACAGACACAGCGAGAATGACAGAGGAATACCATCCTTACAAGCACAATTTCATATTGTAGATAGATGTGAGAAGTACAGCAAAAGTTTGCTGATGCACTGAATGAAGCATAACAGGACAAAAACGGCCATTGAGTCATAAAAACATCCTCTTGCACTGCCACTGCAAGGTCCATCTCGCATATGAGAAAAAGTTCTGTTAAATATTGTGAGATGCAATCTGCAAATTTCAGTCTGGAACAGGCTATTTAAGTCCTGTTTCCCTTTTGTGTAATCATACTTACAGTATGAGCAGCCATAGAGCTCCAGGCGGACTCCGATGCGTCCTTTCATGCTCCAGACCACGGGTATGAAGCGAATGTAGCGGGCCAAGATAGCATGGTCCAGCTCGTGTCGAACAACATCCTCAGCGTTATCATTACCCACCAATGTCTAAAACAGGCAACACAGATAACCTTTGTGTGAATTAAAAGTTGAAATGTTAATAAAAGAGAAAAAGAAGACAAAAGAATTGGTCACTCTTTCAATTATGAAAAAGTTGTTTAAAATGTAAATAAAAAATTAATTTAATGATTTGAAAATCTCACAAACCCGTATTTTATTTACAATAGAATAGCAAAAATATCAAACCTAACAAAGTTGAGCCAGGTCCGCCGAACAGTAGCACGAACATTAGTATGTGTGAGCAGATGAGTATGAACGAACACAGCAACACGAAATAGATCAGCAGTGTAAGGACACATCAAGGTTTTTCTACCATCAACTTTTATTCTTTTGACACTTTGAAAGTAAGACTAACTCTCATTCCCAAAGCTGGATAGTAAGAAACCATGTTACAAAAAAAAATGAATAACAAAAATCTGTTATTGTAATTAATTGCACACCTGTTGTTATGATTTCAGCAAAGCTGAAAGGCCCTTTGTATGAGAACCTTTCCATCTGACCTTTGAAATACAACATCTGAGCGTTATGTGTATCTCTTCCTAAAAGGGAGGATTCGTCCTGCAGTCTTAGAGTGTGGGAAAGAACCACCCTATTGTTCCTTAATGACTCTTTTGGTAGTAGTCAATGTATGAAACAGCATTGCCGTCCCATGGTAGAAGTTATTTTTCTGAACAATTTAACAATTTAATTTTCTGCGTTCTCCTGAATACAAATGAATGTTTTGCAGTAAAACTGCATGAAGTATGAAGCAACTTGTTTCCTTCTTTTTCAGCTTGGTACTCAGTTTAATCATGCATAAAAGAAAGTAGATGAAAAAAACTAGTAATCAGAAGTTTCAACTGTTGTTTTCACAAGTCCTAATGCCAATTTTTATGGATGAGTCAAACTGCTCAGAAGTCTTAATTATCCTGCTGTTATATTGAGTATTTACCAAAGCAGAGTAAATTAGCCATTTATTTTTAACAGTGTTATTAAAGTTTAAATGAAACAGTAACCTGAAACAAAGGTCCACCCTTTCTATTTTGATTGGGTCGACCATCAATATTGTAACGCCCTCCAAGTCAGAGAAAGTTATTCTGACGTTTAGTATAGAGCAGTCTTGGGGGAAGCTTTTGAAGAAGAAAGGTCAAGCAATCGGAAATTTATGCCAGAAGATAAGAAGTTCATGCAGAAAAGAGACAAGTGCTCCATAGATTTGTCTCGTGTTTCAAGGAAGCACCAAAAGGTTCCTTGTCACCAGAAGGAGAAAACGCAGCCCTCTGGAAGTGCCTCAATTGACCCACGGGAACCAATTAACTCGACTCTAGATTTCAGCTGATGTCCAGTGCGAGGGACATCCACCATCGATGCTTAACTCATCTCAAGAGAGTCCCTGGTAACTCTCGGGCAGTTGAACTAGAACTTCAAATGGGTAGGAAAAGCTGCTCATTCTCTCTGCTGGTGTCTGGTGCTCAAGATAAGAAGTTGTCCAGTCTAAGCAAAATTCATCATTATTAATTAGAATTAAGTTCTCCTAAATTGATAAATCACATCTAGCCAAAATGCTTCTTTAAGTTAACTTTAGATGATAATTTACTCTGCTTTTGAACCTCATAATTTACCATATTAAAGTTTAGAAGATAATTCCATAACCTCTTCTTGTGTTGTCAAATTAAAGCCATTATTCATTCTTCAGCTGTACTCATCATTTTGATCACTTATATTTACCAAAATCGATAATAATCTTCACAAAATTGTACTTTGACTCAAAACATTTTTATTATTTGACATTTGAATTTAATACGAAAAGAACTCACTAGAGCGCGTAAACTTGAGTCCGATTTCATATTTTTCTTGCTTAAGAACCGGAAAGCAAGTGGTGCCCCTTTCAGAATAAAATTACTAATCAAAATTCAACGATCTGAGGACCCCTTCCTCTACAGCAGCAACATGATGTGATTTTTCACAGTGATTATCCTGGCTAGATATTCATGAGTCTAACAGCCTAAGGGTAGAAGCTGTTCCTTAGTCTAGTGGTTCTACACTTAATGCTCCTCAACCTCCAGTCTGAGGGGAGCGGGGCAAAAAGTGTGTGTGTGTGCTGGGTGAGTGGGGTCCTTCATGATGAGGTGGTCCTCTTCCTGCATCTTGAGGTGTAAATGTCTGTGATGGTGGAAAGGTTGACTCCAACAGACTTCTGTGCAGCCTTCACCACTCTCTGCAAATCTTTTATTTCTGCAGCTGTGCAGCCTTCATGCCACACATTGATGCTGGAGCACAGGATGCACTCCACTGCACACCTGTAAAAGGAGGTGAAGACTGTACTTCCCAGACCAGCTCGTCTCTGATGAGCTTTCTTGATCAGGCTGGTAATGTTGTTGCCCCAGCTGAGGTTGTCATTCAGGTGCACACCCTGAAGACTGAGTTTATTGTAGCTCCTCAGACCGACAAAGTCTTTTGGATTAATACGAAATGATACAAGTTTATTTATTTATTTATTTTTTATTCTGTCCAGAGGACTTGACTTAACTTTGTTAGATTAATCTACCTGGATTATTGAGCATGCATCAAGAAAAGTATCAAATGTTTAAACTAAGTGTAATTTTTTAAAGAAAAATAAGTAAATTTGAATTTGTCAGCAACAATACATCTTGAAAAAATATGGTACAAGAAAAATGGGATGAGAATCATCCATCCATCCATTATCTACTGCTTATTCTGAAGTCGGATCTCGGCGGGAGCAGCTTGAGTAGGGAAGCCCAGATATCTCTTTCCACAGCCACCTCTTCCAGCTCTTCTGGGAGGACTCCAAGGTGTTCCAAGGCCAAACGAGAGACATAGTCTCTCCAGCGTGTCCTGGGTCTTCCTCTGGGGGTATCCTTGTAGTCGAACATGCCCTAAGCACCTCCCTAGGGAGGCGCCCAGGAAGCATTCCAACCAGATGTCCGATCCACCTCAACTGGCTCCTTTCAATGTGGAGGAGCAGTGGTTTTACTCCGAGTCTCTCCTGATAAACGAACTTCTCACCCTATCTCTAAGCTACCCTGCAGAGGAAACTCATTTCAATTGCCTGTAGCAGTGATTTAGTTTTTTTGGTCACTACCCAAAGGTTGTGACAATAGGTAAGGGTAAGAATGTGAACTGACGGGTAAACAGAGAGCTTCGCCTTACAGCTTAGCTCCCTCTTCACCACAACGAATCATCACAGAGTCTGCAATACGCTGCACCAATCTGCGTGTCAATTTTTTTTTATCTCTGTGCTCTCAGTGAAGGCAGACATGTCCTCCTCTGCTCCGTTCCCCCGCTTCCCTGCTTTGCTCTCTTGTGTTGTGAAACCTTTATAAAACCTCCAAAAATGTTCAATCTGGTCCTCTGGACATTCAAAAAAAAAAAAAAAATTTTTTTGAATGTCCAGAGGTCCATGAACTTTTTTGGATTTTTCTACCTGGATTATTGAGCACGCATTAGGATACTTTATAGAGCCTCTTTTTTTGCATACCTTCCTAATTTGATGGATTTGATCAGCTTGTCTCAACAAAATTGATCAACTTCTCCCGACAGGAAGTCAGGGTGAATGGAGGACCCCCTACCTTGATGGAAACAAAACTGGATTTGACGATAACTGGATTCTGCTGTTTGCGTTGGTGAAATCTGGATTGTCCCCAAATTTGTGTGGAATGTGTCTAAGCTTGGCAGCACTCAGACTACGTCAACTATGTGGAGCTGCATCAAAGCTGAAGCAGGCTGATATCAGGACTGTGAAATTTCTGGCAGCACCCATGAACAGTTGGAAGGAATAATCTTGGAGAAGCTGCAAACTCAACTTTCGGCGTAAATAATCAATTCGGCTGTTTGGAGTCACCATCAGAGAATGTACTAGCGAGACTGTAAAAGGCAGGATTGCAAATTATGAGTTCTGCCTGACCCAAACTGTGGATCTGGCCTTGGAAGCGGACCATCTCAATTCCTCATTATTATGAATTATGAAAACAAAGACGCTCTGTCTGTCTCCTCACCCCTCCCTTCCCCAAGGCCGTGGACATGTGACAGAACCTCAACTGAGCTGGATGGCTGAGGGGGACTCTGGACTATGCTACGACCTTCCCTTAAAACTCAGTGCCTTCACCGGCCTCACATAAATCAGGTCTCTCTTGTATATGAGTCCTCAAGGCTCAATGGGATTACCCGTCTAAATAAAGGTTGAATGAATATGTATTGTCTATTTAAGTTGCTTTGCTGTGGTAGACTTTTTTATGCCTCAAATCATGCCCTGTCTAGGACATGGTGTGAGAGATCTTTTTTATACCTTCACTCCTCATGTTTTTTTTCTCATTTTCTCATCTAAGCATAAGTATTCTGAAAAGAATAAGAGGCTGTGCTCCAGTAGCAGCAGCTATGTGCACTCCACCCATCTTTGGACGACTGTACAAACATAATTTTGTTGTATTACGGTATAATCCATTCTTCCCTCACTTTTGAACAAAACCCCAAGATACTTGAACTCCTCCACTTGAGACAGATCGTCACCATCGACCCAAAGAGAGAAACTCATGTTTTCCAACTGAGGGCCATGGCCTCTGATTTGGAAGTGCTGATTCTCATCCCAGCCGCTTCACACTCGGCTGCGAACCTCTCATGTGAGAGCTGAAGATCACGGCACGACGACACCCAACAGGACCACATCATCTGCAAATAGCAGAGTTGGAATCCTGTAAGGGGAGAAGGGAGGCCATCTGTAAAAAAAAAAAAATAAAAATAAAAATAAAGAGTTGGAATCCTGAGGCCAATGAACCGTAATCCCTCCACCCCCTGGCTGCAACGAGAAATTCTGTCCATAAAAGTTATGGTAAATGGTAAATGGACTGTACTAACATAGCGCTTTTCTATCTTATCGAGATACTCAAAGCGCTTTACACTACAATATGTGTCCTCATTTACCCATTCATACAGTACTCTACTAGATCTCTACAAAAGATAATTGAACAAATCATTCTAAAGAGACTAATCAG